CCCCCAACCCCTTCCCTTCCTTCCCTGCCCTCCTCCCCGGACCCCAGAACTGCTCGTTCCAGCCAGACTCTAAACTAAACGTTCACCTTGACCTTATTTATGACTTTTATGTGCAAATGTTTTGACAATAATGATCATATATTTTGACAAAATATATTTATAACTACATATTAAATGAAAAAAAAATAAAATGAGTCATTATTTTAAAGGTAAACGCACTTTGGTGTCTAACCTTTCAGGGCTGCCTGCCCTGCAGAGCCAGGAGCGGAGCCTTTCATTTCTTGACTTTTTATTTATTCAGTTCTTCTCCCCCGCCTCCCCTTCCTTTTTTTTAACTAGTTTTTCCTCCCCTTCCTTTTTTTTTTTAACTGGTTTTTCTGCTGCTGATGTTGATGCTGGTGCTGATGTGCCTGTTGTTGGGGCCCTGGGTGCTGGGGAGCTTCGGTTTGGATACGGAGCTGGGAGCTGCCTGCTCTGGGCAGGCCTCCCCTGGGGCCGCCGAGGCAAACCCTTGCCTTGCTAACCTGCGTTTTAAGTGCTCTGCAAAAATGCATTTGAAAAGGAGCAAAGCTTTCACCTGAGGGGCTGCGCTTCCCCCTGCAGGCTTCCCACCTTCCCTAGCTCCCTGGGTTCAAAGCTATTAACATTTTCTTTTTTGGAGGCGGGGAGGGAATTGCTGGAGGATGGCTGGTTGTTGGTTTGTTTGGTTTTTTTTTGTTTTGTTTTGTTTTTTTTTTTTGGCAGGGGGGGGCTTCAAAGGTGGCATGAGCCTTTTGAAGCCCCCCACCTCTGAGATGCCAGTGCTGACCAAAGTATGTTAGCAGCTGTTAAGCAGGCGTTATGCTAATACCTACCTGCCGTCTCCCCGCCAGGCTGGCATGCCCTGGTGCAGGCAGCTGCAGCTTCCTGGGCGCTTTTGTCCCTTGGGCTTTTTTTTCCCCCCCCCCTCTGGGTCGCCTTGGCTTTCAGTAGCAAGGGGGGGTGGATGTGTGCACTTGAGAGGGAGATGAGCTCGCAGGCATCCCCAGCTGAGCAGAGGGGTGGGGAAGGAGGGAGGGACGGATGCAGCATTTTTGTTTTTAATTATCGGAGTTCTCCAAGCCTCCGAAAGGGGCAGCTCAGTTGAAACCAATAAAAATAGAAGGGGGAAGCTTGCCAAGAGCCTCGGCTCCCTGGAGAGTGCAGGTGGAGAGGAGATCAGAGCTGCAGGCGAAGGCAGCGTAGCTCCACGCTGCTCTCCAGAACTCCCTGCAAAGTGCCTGCCCCCCGGCTTGGCCCAGCCCAGCTCCCCTGGACTCGGCTGCAGCTGGTGGGTGGCTGGAGCGCAGTGAGTCCAGGGCTGGCGCTGCCCTGGGATAGGGAAGCAGCTGCCGTCTGCCTGCTCTGGGTGTGCAGAGGTGCCCCCTGTCGCCCACCCTTCGCTGTGGGGACACTCCTGGACACTGGAGGGCTCTGCCCACTGTGCCTTTCCCCAGAGCCCAGCAGGTCTAAGGCACTGCTATCCCATGCCTGCTCTGCTTGCATGGCTACAGGGCGGTGGGGGGTTAAGTGTGGGGTGAAGGGGCAGGAGCTGCTGGGGAATGGCTCATGGGGCAGTTACCTGCATCCCTGACCCTGCCACATCCCCCATCTCAGGAAGTCATGTCTCCTGCCCTGACAGTGCCGTGGGGAGGACATGGGAGCTGCAAGGTTTTAATGCCCCCCCTCCAATAGCCTCACTGGGTATAGGGTGGGCATTAAATGATCCCCAACTGCCTGAGGAAGGTTTGGCCAGCCAGTTCGAGCACCTGATTTTTGGTTCTGAACAGTCCACATGCAAACTTGAAAAGGGAGCCTGAGCTTGGGCTCAAGGTAGAAGCTGGCCAGGACCCCACGACATGGTCTGTACTGAGTGCAAAACGCTGTGTTTGGTACTGGATAGGAAGGGGCCTGCCAGCATCTGGGGCTGCCTTTGGGCCATGATATGGGAACGTGTGGAATAGGAGAAAGGAATGAGCCAACCACCCAGAATGGCCCCTAAGTCCTGAATAAACCCAGTAGGGCCGGGTCCCCTGCATTGGCATAAGGCATTTTAGGTGCCACCTTGTACTGAGATATGCCAGAGGAAATGCTGCTGTTGGTCTCCCTTCTGGTAGAGGTGCAGGGGTGGTGACCAGGATGAGCCCAGCTTTGCTGTAGAGCACGCATGGGTAAGTTGTGAGCTCAGTTTAGTGCAGAGATACCCAGGACTTTAATATAACACAGCAGAAACCCTGCTTTCGGAAGTCGGTGTCGTGCCTAGAGAAGCCCCTTTCCTGACGGCTGCTTCTTGTGGACGTGTCGAGTTGGCTGCTCCTTAGCTCATCGCATCAGAAGTTACAACACCCGAGAGGAGCCGGAGCACAATTTCTGGCCTCCAGCAATGCCTGGGTGTTGGCTCCATCTGGAGCGTTTTTGTTGCGCATCTCTCTGCGTCCGGCGCCTGGCTCCTGTGGATTTGGGGGTGTATTTCCATGCACCTGTGACTTTGTGAGGGTTTGAACGCCTTCCATATAGGGGCTGACAGCAATTGCTAGATGTCTAGTGGATGCGAGTCAGGAATGATAACAGCACAACGGTCTGAGAAAAATCCTTGGGAACTTAGTTTTCCTCCAGAAAAATGCAATGCTCGAAAGGGATATTTGAAAGGAAGAGGAGGACGTGGAAGGCTGGTTGTTGGTCCTGCTGGGTGCTGTATGCTAAATGCCTCGTGGCGCTTCAGTCCTCATCGTGGCTAGTAGTCGGGCCTTGATTTCTGGTGTGTGCTGGCCAGTGCACATGTAATATAAATGATGAGTTTGGGCAAGAGAGGCATGGAGGTAGTGAGAGCAAACTAGGCAGGGCCTTTCAGCTGAGTTAGTAGCTGCGTTACGTTGCACTCGTGGTGAGCTCTGAGCTCCATGAAATAGTTATCTCTGGCCTCCTTCTGGGCAGCTTCAAGCATGGGGGAGGGCATATGCAGGAGACCCTGTGTTTTATCTGAGGGATGATGGGGTGTCAGGTGCGACGTTGCAGTGTGGATGGCAGAAGATGCGCTTGGGCATCCTCTGATGAAGCTAGAACAGGCATCCGCAACATGGACGTAGCTGGGTTTCCCCGTAGGACTCGCAGTCTCACCTCTTCCTCTGTGTAAGAGACCCCGTCCCTCAGTGAGTCTTACACTGGTTTCTTTACGTACTAAACTGGGTCAAATGTCTCAGCATTTCCAGCAAATTTCCTGCAGTTGCTCTACAGCGACTCCAGAGATCACATGCATGCTAGCCACAGGGGATGCATCTTTGCAAAATCCTTTGCAAGATGCAAAGCATGGAGCCTTGCAAGTTGCTATTCTGGGAGCCTTGCAAGCAGGGCTAGGGCGCGCTGGTTCAGGCACTTTTTTCATTTTGTCGGCAATACAGAACCGATCACCGTGGACCTGGTTTGCCCTTGCTTGGTCTCTGTGAACCTCTGATGGTTGGAAACTGCTCTATGTTCTTGAAGGGACCGATATTCCAATGTATTTTGTGTTGCTATTTTCTAGTTATGTGACTGCGATGTCTTGCTCCTCCAACCAGCGTTGTGACATTGCTGTACAAATGTGTAGTAGGATGCAACCCCTGTCCTGCATTGCTCGCCCTGCAGATCGGTCGGCGGTGAGAAGATGGGACTGCAGGGAACTGAGGCACAAAGACACGAAATGCCTTGCCCAAGGAGACATGGGAAGAGCCCGAAACAGGGCCCAGATCTCCCAAGTCCCAGGTCTATGTCCTAGCCACAAACCCATTCCTTGCTCTCTCCCCTGTCCTCTTGAAGATCCATGGTCTTTACCAGGGGTGGATGCAGGGGCTACACTGGTGCATTCGCACCTCCCTTTGATCTCTGCTCCCCCCGAGGGTTAAAACCAACTGCCTGGCAGTGGCAGCAGCATTTCTATTCGGGCAGTGTTGACTTCGTGGCTCATTGTAACCTACCTGATTCCTCCTAATCTCTTCACTCAATAGGCGTTAACAACCCTCTCTTCTTTTTAATGGCTTTGTTCTACCAATCAAACTAACCTTTGCTCTGCAGTTCTGCTGTCCTCTGCTCCTGGTCACAAAGCTCCCATTTCACAACCCTGCAGGTTGTTTTTAACTCATTCCAATGAAGGTATATTTGTTTTTTCCTTTGATCTTAAATGGAATAATACAGCCCCTAGGCCCCTGGGTGTATTTGTAAATCTTTTAGTTCTTTTTACCTGGAGAAATAATATGTGTTGTGTTATACGTGATGATGCACCTCACCATCTGCACCCCCCTCTTCAAAATCCTAGATCCACCCATGGTTTTAACCTCAGAGTAACAATAAATTTTCTGTGCCATGGAAACGATCCCATGCTCTGCCCTCTCACTTCCTTGTCTCCTTGGGCATGTTTCCTGGTCATCAGATTTATAGCTGGTGACATCTGGG